GATGGATGTTGTATAGTTAATGGATGGATACATGGTGGATGGATGGATGGATGGGTGGGTGGATGGATGGATGGTGGATAGTGACAGATTAATAATGATGCATGAATGATGGTGGACTGTGGATGAATGAATGGATGGTGGATAGTTGGTGGATAGATGAATAATGGCTGTATGAGTGATGGATGGTTGATGGATGAATAGATAATGATGAAAGAATAGATGGTGGATGGATGGTGGGTGGGTGGATAAAAATGAATGAATGATGGATGATGAATGGGGGGGTGGATCATGGATGGATGAATGAATCGGTTATGGACTTTTGATGGATGGATAATGGACAGATGAATGCATGGGGATTGATGGATGGTGGGTGGATAAAAATAAATGAAGGCTGGATGGACAGTGAATGAATGGATGGTAGATGGGTGGATGGATGGATGGATAAAGGATGAATGAGGGGCTGGAGAGATAGCACAGTGGGTAGGGCATTTGCCTTGCACGTGGCTGACCCAGGTTCGATTCCCAGCATCCCATATCCCCTGAGCACCGCCAGCAGTAATTCCTGAGTGCAGAGCCAGGAGTAACCTCTGTGCATTGCCAGGTGTGACCCAAAAAACCCAAAATAAATAGAAAAAAAGTGGGTATGAAGTGATAGCACAACGGGTAGGGCATTTGCCTTGCACACAGCTAACCCGGGTTCGATTCCCAGCATCCCGTATGGTTCCCCGAGCACCGCCAGGAGTAATTCCTGAGTGCATGAGCCAGGAGTAACCCCTGTGCATCGCCAGGTGTGACCCAAAAAGAAAAAAAAAGGTATAGAAATAGAGTGGAGACTCAGAGGGGACCCAAGTGAGGAAAGAGACTAAGAGTCCCCAAGGGCCTTCTTGGTGTTTCAGAGTTGGGGCCAACAGGTGCCTTGGATAAGGTAATGGAGGCTCGAAGAACAGAAGGGGTCCCCTAAAAGGATAGAGTTTCAAGAAGAGAGACTCAGGAGGAGGTGGCATCTGTCTGGGGGACCCAGGAGGGGGTGGGGTTTCCAGAGGCTCACAGACAGGAAGTAGGGGTGCAGAAGGCTAGGGTGCGAAGGTTCCCACAGAAGGGGCACTCAGCGAGCTTTCTCTTCCCCTCCCTCTGCAGACAGCACCTCAGGTGGGGTGTCTGCAAACCTGATCAGCAGCTTGGATCCTGGGGCCAGGGGTGTACTGGGCCCCAGACACTGACACCTCAACCTCCCCTTGGCCCCCTGACTCAGGAAGGCCATGGAGGGACCAGAGAGATAGTTCAGTGGGGAAAGCAATGGACTGAGCTGGGTTCAATCCCCAGTACCGGTAGCATCTCCCGAGCTCACCAAGAGTGATCCCTGAGCACAGAACCAGGAGTCACCTCTGAGCATCACTGGTGTGCCCCTCTGAAAAATAAAGGTAAGGAAGGAAGGAAGGGAGGAGGGAGGGAGGGAGGGAGGAAGGGAGGGAGGGAGAGAAGGAAATTAGGAAGGAAGGAAGGAAGGAAGGAAGGAAGGAAGGCAGGCAGGCAGGCAGAAACTGCCCAGAGCATTCCCTGGGCAAGAAGAGATGGGAGTGGGGGGTGGAGAGGGCGGGAGATTAGGGATCCTAGTGCTCTTCCAGCATTTTCTGCCCAGGGAATCTTTTTGGCTGCAACCTATTGTCCCGATGAAGGAGAGAATCCTGGTCTAGTTCCAGGAGAAGCACAGCCACCTGGGGGCTCCCCTCCGTCTTTCTCTTCCCCTTACCATGCCCTTAGATATAGGTGCAGGGCCAGAGAGATAGTGCAGGGGTTAAGGCATTTGCCTTGCATATGGCCAACCCAAGTACAATCCCCAATATAATCCCCCACACCGCACCAGGAGTGATCCCTGAGCACTGCTGATTATGTCCCCCAAAACCAAAAAGCAAAAGAGGGCCAGAGATAGCATAGCAGGTAAGGCACTTTCTTTGCATGAGGCTGACCCAGGTTCAATTCCAAGCATCCCATATGGCCCCTGGAGCATGGCCAGGAGTGAGCCCTGAGCATCACCAGGTGAGGACCCCCCCCAAAAAAAAAGCAAACAAAAAAGAAAACAGTGAAATAGAGGTTTGTCCCATACACTTCTATTCGCCTATCGGCCCTCTGTGATGAAGGTCACCGTGCCCCTCACGAGCCAGACTGACCATCAGGCAGAGGTTATGTGGAGACAGGGACCATCTGCTTCTGGGGTGCAAGAGACCGAGAGCAGGTTGGGAGATGGTGGCTCTGACTGGGGCTTTGCATCCCTTCTGGGTGCCCATCAGGCCTTCCCGACTGAGCCTGGCATAAGGAGCTGGTTTCTCTCTTTATTTGTTTCTTTCTTTTTCTCTTTTTGGGTCACACCTGGCGATGCTCGGAGGTTACTCCTGGCTCTGCACTCAGGAATCACTCCTGACAGTGCTTGGGGGACCATACAGGATGCCGGAGATCAAACCCGGGTTGGCTGTGTGCAAGGCAAACACTCTCCCCTCTGTACTATTGCTCTGGCCCCCAGGGCTGGTTTCTTATGGGGAGAAACTGCTTCCTCCCTAGGTCAGGGGGCACATGCCTGGAGTACTCCCCACACAGCTCACCCCCAGTGAATAACCATGACGCTCTCTTGCCCAACCCTTGGGTGTGAGAGCGAAGCCAATGCAGCTCCCTAGGGTACAGGTCACAGCTTTAACCTTTTTTTGAGGTGGTGGTGAGAGTTTATGGGTCACACCCGACAGTGGTCAGAGTCCGGTCCGCTGTTCCTGGCTCTGTGCTCAGGAGTGACCCCTGGTGGTTCTCAGGGGATCATATGCCAGTACCAGGAATTCAAACCAGGGTCAGGAGGCAGTGCCTTAACCACTGCACTACCTCTCCGGCCCAGGATCTTACACTTTATGTGGGTGATTCCCCTGTACTTGAATTCTTTTGCTTTCTGTGTGTGTGTGCCACATTAGGTGGTGCTCAGGACTCACTCCTGGCTCTGTGCACAAAGATTGCTCCTGGAGGGAGATCCTCTGGGGAATCAGGAATTGAACCTGGGTCAACCGTGTACAAGGCTGCATAAACTGCTGGACTAGTTCAGGCCCCTGAATTCTATTTCAAGAAATCCTTTTCATTTTTCATTTTGTTCTGCTTCAGTTCTGGGTCACACCCCACCCCAGCAGTGCTTAGGGCTTACTCCTGGCTCTGTGCCCAGGGGACATTCCTGGTGGGACTCAGGGGACCCTAGATGATGCCGGGAATCAAATCAGGGTCAGCTAGATCCAAGGTAATTGCTTTAAACATGTACTCTCTCTTTCTCTCTAGGCCCCAACAAAACATTTTTATTTTTGGCTTGGGGGCCACACCTGGCGGTGCTCAGGGCTTACTCCTGTCTCTGTGCTCAAGGATCTTCCCTGGAAGGACTCAGAGAATTATATGGGATGTCAGAGATCAAACCCTGGTTGGCTGAGTGCAAAGCAAGCACACCTGACAATTTCAATCTTTCTCCAGCCCTCAATGCAACAGTTTAATGGGGCACTAACCCTTTCAAAGAGCCCACCCTGGGTAATACTGTCCCTGTCTCTCTCCTGGTGGGACAACACAACCATGAAGTAGTGTTGGGGACAGAAATCAGGAGGGAAGGGGGCTGGAGTAATAGCACAGCGGGTAGGGCATTTGCCTTGCACGCAACGAGCCAGGTTCGATTCCCAGCATCCCATAGGGTCCCCCGAGCACCGCCAGGAGTAACCCCTGTGCATCGCCGGGTGTGACCCAAAAAGCAAAAAAAAGAAAGAAAGAAAGAAAAAAATGAGGGAGGGGGCAGATGGATAGTACGGGGGGAGGGGCATTTGCCTTGCATGTGGCTGACCCAAGTTTGATCCCCGGCATCCCAAACAGTCCCCTGAGCACACCAGGAATGATTTGAGTGCAGAGCCATGAGTAATCCCTGAACACTGCTGGGTGTGACCCCAAAAAACCAAAGGGGGAAAAAAAAATAAGTGAGGAGGGTCTCTCTCCGGGGTTATCTCCCGGACAAGGCTACTTACTGCCCACAGTGTCTGGGGGGTCCCCAACACCCCCAGGAGCTCAGATGTGTGAGGTTCCAACCCCATCCCCACCCGACCTACCTCCTCCTTCCGATTTCTCAGAAAAAATAAATAAAAAATAAGACACCCCCACCCCCACCCCCTGGCCAGGAAGCATTCATCACAGACTGTCCAGCAGGCCGGAGGGACAGGGGTCAGCTGCAAGGCGACCTCCAGGGCTCCCTGAGGACCTGGAGCCTGTGGGGCTGCGGGTGAGAGGCTGGAATTTTTCCCACCCTGAGATCTTCCTGCTGCAACCCAGGAGGGCACCCTGGAATCCGCCTGCCCTGCCCCCCACCTCCTTCCTCTCTTGACACGATTCCCGGCCAAGGATGGATGATGGGAGGGTGGACCCCACGGCCACCACTGGCCCTGGGAGGAGATTGACAAAAGGCGGGGGAGGGGGACTATGGCTTGGAACAGCTGAGGGACAGCTGGTGGCAGGTCATGCAACTTTGGAACATGCGGGGGGGTGGGGGGCTACGGGGAGGGCTCGACGGCTCGGGGTGCTGAGGTTCCACAGCATGGCCACGAGTTGGAGCGTGGCCCAGCCCTGGGCGTATGAGAAGCCCTTGGCCCTGGGCCCTGCCCCCCGTTCTTCCTCCCCCCACACACTGGGGACTCAGCCCTTCCTTGAGTTAAATAGGAACCTCTTTATTCTAAGAATCGACAGTCCTTAACACATTGGATGGGGGCCAGACCTTGAGGTGAGGGGAAAGGGGGGCCTGGGATATTTCTGTAGAACCTTCCAGAAGGTCACCGCCACACGCCGCGCTGGGGAGGCTGCTGGGAATGCGGCCTTGGGAAGGGCCCAGCTTTCTCTGGATCCTGGAGTTGGATCTTTGCCTGCCCAGGCTCTGAGGACCCAGACAGGGGAGTTAGGAGTCGGAGGGGGGGCGGTCACCCTACAGAGGACAGGGTGTCAGCAGCAAAGATGGGGGGCACGGAGGCAGAGAGCCGGGGGCGTCTCAGCGCTGGGACCGCGACCGGGTGGGAGAGGGAGGCCGGCGCCGGGGCAGACAGGCCAGGTCAGGCCGAGGGAGCCGCGAGAGGGGGATACGGCCCAGGAAAAGGGGGAGACTGAGGCAGAAGGGGGGTCGGGGCACTGGGATGTCGGCAAAGAAGGCCCGGTCTTGGGGGGGACACGGCGTGCCCCCTTCGGACAGCTCCAGGTCCCGAGCTACCGCCAGGATCTCGTGCCGCGCCGCCGTGTTCCGCAGGCCCCGGATGTCCAGGAGGGCGGCCACGTGCTTCCGCCTGGGGGTAGAGAAAGAGAAGGGACATGGGGGCCCCCTGCCAGCCCTCCAGTGGTCCCAGAACCCACCTAGGAGCTCCGCAACTTCCTGCTCACTCTACCCAACACCTGCACCCCACAATGCTCTTACCTGCCCCCCAGATCTCCCTTCCTATCAGCCTCTCTCCAGACACACAAGCAGCCTCACATTCCAATACCCCACATGTTCCCCCGTTCCCAGGGCTCCCCTCATCTGGCCGGAGCCTGGGAGCCCCATCCCCACCCCCCAATGCGGTTCTAAAGTATCAGCCTAAAGCTGGACCCTGCGCCAGCCCCTTCCGGCACCCATACCCGTAGCAGCCTTCCCTCACGTGTCCCATGTCTCTCCCCCCAATTCCCAGAACCACCTATTCCCCGGTTAGGTGTCACCAGGGGACTCTCACTCGATCCGCAAGCAGGGGATGTAGAATTGACTCTGTTCCCCACGTGCTGCCACCCAGCACCTTCTCCCATATCCGTTTCTGCTCCTGCTTCAAATCCTGCATTCCTGAGCCACAACTCACTTCAGGTGTGACCTGGAGCCCACTCTCACCCCACCTTCAGGATTTTTGTTTGTTTTGGGGCCACACCCAGAGATACTCAAGGCTGACTCCTGGCTCTGTGCTCAGGGATCATTTCCAAGGCACTTGGGGAATACCCTGTAGGAGGCCAGGGATCAAACCCGGTTGACTATGTGCAAGGCAGATGCCCTCTCCTCTAGTATTTTGTTGTTGGCTTTTTGGGTCACACCCGGCGATGCTCAGGGGTTCCTCCTGGTTCTACATTCAGGAATCACTCCTGGGGGTACTTGGGGGACTCTATGGGATGCAGGGAATTGAACACAAGTTGACCATGTGCAAGGCAAATGCCTTACCTGTTGTACTACCACTCTGGTCCTCACCCACCTTTTTTTGTGGATGGCTTTGGGAACACACCTGATGGTAGTCAGGGGCTACTACTCCTGGTTCTGTGCTCAGGGATCATTCCCAGTGGTGACTGGGGAACCATATATGAACTAGGGATGGAACCAGGGCCAGCTGTGTACTAGGCAAGTACCTTACCCCTGTACTCTCTCTCCAGCCCCCAAATCTTCCTTTCAAACAATTCTGTGTCCTCACTCCACCTGCCTCTACCCACCCCAGCTCAGCCACATCACCTGGTTACATCCCGGGTTTGGGCCTCCAAAGCCCCAGAACACACCTAAAGTGTCTCAAGAACCTTCTGTCAGAGAACTCGGAAACGCAGCTGCCACAGTCAGTATCGTCCACCTCCTGCCAGGCCAGCTTGAGACTTCTTAAAACCCCAACTTTAGACCCCTCCACCTCCCTGACCCCCGTCCAGGACTGGAGCGATGGCACAGCAGAGAAGGAGCTTGCCTTGCACGTGGCTGACCCAGGTTTGATCCCTGGCCTCCCACAGGATTCCCTGAGCTCTGCCAGGAGTGATTCCTGAGTGCTGAGCCAGGAGTAACCCTCAACATCACTTGAGTGTGGCCCCCCAATACAAAACCCCCCCAGTCTCCAGTCACAATGCTGGGACACCCTCCCGCCACTCACCCAAGGACACGAGCAGAAACTCAAACCAACCTTTCATCCTTGTATCTGGTGTAGAATCCCGTGCCTCACCTGTCCCTATCTGTGGGTGACTGGGTGGCTTGGGGTGGGGGTCAGGTGCACCCACATACTGTGGGAAACCAAGTTTCAGTCTGGTCACTTGTAACTTCATTCCTACTCATCGCCCACAGTGATGCATGTTTTCTGTTTGGGGCTACCTGGTCTGTGCTCAGGGATCTCTCCAAGCTATGTGGGAAGGATGGGGAGTCTGAACCCAGACCTTCTGCATCACGCACTTAGCCTTTGAGGAGGGTACCTTTGCCTTGCACAGATGTTCTAAAACCGCTTTTTATTGGGGCCGGACAGATGGTGTAGCCAGTAAAGTACTTGCCTTGCACAGAGTCGACCCAGGTTTAAGCCCCCGCACCCCATAGGGTCCCCTGAGCCACACCAGGAACGATTCTTGAGTACTGCCAGGTATGGCTTCTCCCCAGCCCATGCCCCAAAGATTAGATAGAACATAGGAGATTGTTTTCCAGTGAGCCAGAGTCTGTACTGTTAGTTCTTGTACAGCCCCCAAGTGTCCCCTCCACCCACCACCAGAAACAAAAATTTATGGGGGGGGCGGGGGGGGCGCTGACACTGCCGTATTTCACAGCATAATAGGCGTGTGTTTGTGTGTGAGCGTTTGTGTGTATGAAGCAAGATAGTTTTTATTTAACTAAACTTGCTTAGAAAGTTGTCAGAGAAGGAGCTAGAGCGATAGCACAGCAGGTTGGGCATTTGCCTTGCACGTGGCCGACCCGGGTTCGATTCCCAGCATCCCATATGGTTCCCCAAGCACTGCCAGGAGTAATTCCTGAGTGAAGAGCCAGGAGTAATCCCTGTGCATCGCCGGGTGTGACCCAAAAAGCAAGAAAAAAAAAAAGTTGTCAGAGAAAGCTGAGGACTGGGAACTGAAAATTAAGGAAAGATGTGAGAGGAGAGAAGGGGGGGAAAGAATGTGTTTAAGAGAAAACACCTGCTTCTCCAGAATGGAAATAAGCCAGCAAAGAAGCAAGCAAATAAGATACGCGTTTAGGAAAAACACTGGCTTGAAGAGCAAGTCTAATGGTCACATATTTTGTACCAATTTTTTGGGGGGACTTGGGGCCAAAAGTGGGATGCTATCGTTTTGTGAAGCTTAAAAAAAATAAATAAATAAAAGGGCGCCTGCGGGCGTTTGAGAATACCCCCCCCCCTTCGTCGCAATTACACGTTGAAATACGGTAACTCCCTCTCGTCCTTGATGAGGACCAGGAATCCCATCACAATTCTCTGAAAAGTCCGGTGAGCCCGAAGAAGAAAACTTAGGCTCGGGGCGGGTCCCCCTACCCCCCAGAAAGGAAACGGTGCCCCAGGGGGCGGCCCGCGCCCGCGCGGTCCCGTGCGTGTGCGCGCCCGTGCGTGTCCGCGCCCCCGCGGCTCCCCTGCAGGGCCGGCCCTTCCTGCCGCCGGGCGGCCAGCGGCCCCCTGCCCTGGGCTTCCTGTGACTGACACTCTGTTTGTTTGCGAGCCCTGGTGGCGGCGGCGGCGGGAGAAGGAGGGAAATCGTATTAATAATGCCCAGGTTCCCGCAGGAAACGGTCATCAGACACGCCGCCTCCCGCCCGCGCCCAGAGGGCAGGAAACGCCGAGACGGATGCCAGGGCCCTCCCGAGACCGCGGGCGGCGAGAGGGCGGGGGCCGGGCGCTTCTCACCTGATGTCTGGGTAATCCCGCACCAACACCCCCACCTCCACCTGGATGCTCGGCGTATCTTCAAGCTGCAGGACCTCGGCAAGGTGGGGCACCACAGCGTCCAGCCACGTGGCCTGGGACTCCTGGCGAGATAGGACCTGCGGGCTGACCTTCCCGGCTGCATCCCCCCACCCCCCAGCGCGCGCCTCCCGGCCTGTGTCCATAGCTGAGCCCTGGAAACTTTGGAGTTTTGCGGGGGGAGGGGAGAATCCATAATACCATCTACTAGCTCTGGGATAACTTGGGGCTCAGGGACACCCTCAAAACCCAGTTTGCAAACCCCTTTCACTAGGAGGGTCAAAGCTCCTTCATTCCCCCCCCCCCTTCCTCTCTCCTCTCTTACTCCCCCTTTTGGGGTCACCTACTATGGTGCTCAGGATTTACCTGCTGGTTCTGCTCAGGATCTCTGGGTGTATGTGGGGAATCGTGGGATGAGGGATCTAACCCAGGTCCCCATGTGCAAGGTGAGTAGCGCCTCAAACCCAGTTCTATCTCTCCGGCCCCTCTGAGTTCTTTCTTATATATATATATATATATATATATGAATCTACAAGTAATTACCCCCCCCCACACACACACACCCCAAAACGAGACCTGAAAACATTCCAAGAACTCAAACCAGAAACTCCTGGCCTAGGACTGAAGGAGTTGCCCGGCCTCCAGGCCCTCAGCTTGGCACAGATAACGCTCAGTGATGGGTCCGCGCCTCGGATCTGCGTCGGTGCTCCCGAGCGCTCTCCCGGTGCCAGGTGGGGCCCAGAGCCTAGCTCGTTAAATCCCAAGGGACCAGCACGCCGACTCGCCTCCGCCAGCAGCCCAGGACAACCCGGGGATGGATTGGGGTGGGATGGAGCCCCGCCCCCGTGGATCCGCGCGTGCTCGGGGGCAGGGTCGGAGAGGGACACCCCACGTCTGCCGGGGAGAGCGCCCCGCGCGCACTCACCAGCCTCCGGAAGAGCCTCTGCAGCTGCGCCGCGTCCTCGCGGAGCTTCCCGGCCACGCGGCTGCGGGTGCGGGCCGAGCGGCAGCGCAGGCGCCCGCGGAGCAGCGGCCGCACGTACTCCACCAGCGCGCGCCGGTGCAGTTCAGCCACCAGCGCCTGGGGACGGGGAAAGGGCGCGAAGTTGGACTGTGGGCCGCTCGCCCGGGACTCCCCCGCCTCCCCCACAGCCCCTTTTCTCCTCCGCGCCCCGCCCCCGCCCTGCCCTGATGATGCCTACCTGCCCCCCACTTTTTTTTTTTTTTGCTTTTTGGGTCACACCCGGCGATACACAGGGGTTACTCCTGGCTCTTGCACTCAGGAATTATTCCTGGCGGTCCTGGGGGCGCGGGGGGGGGGGGGGGGGGGGGGAACCCTATGGAATGCTGGGAATCGAGCCCGGGTCGGCTGCGTGCAAGGCAAACACCCAAACACCCTACCCGCTGTGCTTATCACCCCCTTTCCCATCTCCCCCACTTTAATCCCCCCCTCTCCCCCCCCCCCCCCCCGCCCAGCAAACCTCTATAACCCCGGCCCCATTCTCAGAACTCAGGCCCAGGCTGGGTTTGCGTTTTGACTAGCTGCCTTCCAGGTCCCCCGGAGACGCCTTTCTGCACCCCCACACGCACGTGGCACCTAGCTTTCCCACTGGGAGTTTCCCTGTCCAGCCCACCCTTCCCTTTTCCAAGGGGGCGCACCTGGTAAGGTTCATCCTGCATCCGGCGCAAGGCTAGGGCCTGCGCGCCCAGCGTGCCCACGATGCCGTCCAGGGCCTCGGTGCTGCTCAGCCACTTCCGGCGCATCAGCTTGCTGAAGTGCGGCTGGGAGAGAGGGAATGTGTGTTTGTGGGGGGGGGGGGGGGGTGTTGGTCATAACACCCGCACTCCAGAAAGGAGGAAACGGGCTGCCCTCCAGAGCGGCTGTCCAGAGTGGGCACGGGTAGGGGACAGGACAGAGGCGTCAGGAAGGTTTTCTGGGGCCCGGGGAGATGGTACAGCGGGAAGGGCGCTTGCCCTTGCATGGAGTCCACCCGGATTCAATCCCTGACATCCCTTATAGGCCGTGAGCACTGCCAGGACTAATTCCTGAGTTCAGAGTGAGAAATAATTCTCAGGTGTGCCCGAACCCCCCCCCCCAATAAAGGGGGGGGCTTCCTGGAAGAGGGCTTCCTGGAAAAGTGCTGGCCCAGAACTGACCCAAACAGAGGGGCCAGAGAAAGTAAGGTTTCCATTTCAGAGCCTCAGCCAGACGACCAGGAAGGTCAGCAAGGGGACAAGGCCATCTGTAGAATTTTCTGGGACCAACTTGAAAACGGGGAGCAGGAGACTGGAACTTAGTACAGGTGCTTGTCTTGCAGCTGACCCCTTGCGGCTGACCCTGATTCAATTTCCAGCACCACTTCTGTTCCGTGGAGTACCGCCAGGGGTCACCCTGGAGCACAGAGCATAAAATAGTCCCTGAGCCTCTGAGCGCACCACACCATCCCCATAGGGGACCCTTGTCCAGAAAGTCTTGCTTTAGTTTTTAGAGTCACACCAGCTGTGTTCAGGGGCTACTCCTGGCTCTGTGCTCAGGGTTTGCTCCTCCGGTAGCTGCTGGGGGCTGGAGGGGGAAGGAACCATTCAGTCCTAGGAACCAACCCCAGGTTCCTGCATGTAAGGCGGCATCCCAGTCCTCTGAGCCATGTCCTGGACGCCCGCCCTCCCCCCGCCACAAATTATTAGGAGTTTCAAGATAGTGGCAGCTGAGCATTAATCCTAGCTCAAGTCCCTGTCAGGGATTGAGGGGCTGGCGAAGCCCTGAGCACCACTGAAGCCAGATGGGCAGATTGCAGTGGCGAAATGGGACAGTGGGGTGCACTGTGACTTGCTCCCCCTTTGTCCTGAGGACCCTGGAGCACGTGGCCAGCTCTGAGCAGGAGAGGGCGAGGTACTTTACTGAGATAGGAGAGTTAGGGCTGGGAGGGTGTGAGCAGAGAATTCAGCTGGTCGATTCAGAACTGAGTGGTCTCGGGGCCGAAGCAATAGTACAATGGGGCTGATCTCGGTTCGATCCCCGGCATCCTATATGATCCCCTGAGCACCGCCAGGAGTATATCATTGGGAATGGGAACAGACAGGTTTTAAAACGGGAGATCCGGAGAAATAGTACAGGGGATCAGGCACTGGTTTTGCCCAGGACTGACTCTGGTTCAATTTCTGGCACCATGGCTGGTCCCCCAGCACCATCATAGCTCACTCCTGGGCACAGAGTCAGGATTAGCCCCTGAGCATTGCTGGGTGTGGCAGTATACCCCCTCAAAAAGAAAGAGCTAAAATTTAAAAGGGGAGAGCCCAGAGGCAAGTGTAAACAGGAGAAGGGTTCATGCTCTCTTGCATGCTTCAGATTTCGAGATCCATCCCCAGTACTGCCAGGCCAGGAGACACTGTTGCTGGGGGTGGTCTCTGGGCTTCTGAGAATTCCAGGGGCTGGAGAGACCCTCAAAAGACACTTCAGGGCTGGAGAGATAGCACAGCGGGTAGGGCGTTTGCCTTGCACGCGGCCGATCTGGGTTCGACTCCCAGTGTCCCATATGGTCCCCTGAACACCGCCAGGAGTAACTCCTGAGTGCAGAGCCAGGAGTAACCCCTGTGCATTGCTGGGTGTGACCCAAAAAGCAAAAAAAAAATTAAAAAAAAGACACTTCAGGGGCTGGAGCAATAGTGTAGCAGGAAGGGCATTTGCCTTGCACACAGCCGGCCTGGGTTCGATCCCCAGCATCCCATATAGTCCCCCGAGCAACAATAGGAGTAATTACTGAGTGCAGAATCAGGAGTAACCCCTGAGCATTGCCAGGGATGACTCAGATACAAACAAACAAAAAAAAGATACCACAAACAAGGGCAGACAGTCGGGTTCAGGAGAGGATGTGGAGAATTCTGTGTGGAGCAGGCGGGCACGGAAGGTTTCCCCGAATCCGCATGAGCGCTGCATTGGTAGAATATGGAGGTCCCCACTGAGGAAGCCCTTCCTCGGCCCCAGGTACAAAGGCCCAGCGAGTGGCTCAAAGGGCTGGGGCGCAGAGCTGCCTGCGGGAGCCCCAGTTACCATCCTGGGCACTGCACGGTCTTTCCAGTAGCCCCAGAAGTGCCCCCCCCACCATGTGGGAGCAACCCCAAACACTGCTTGGGTTTCTCCATAAAAGGGAGGTAACGGTCATGAGGCTGGTTGATTTGAGGTAGGGGTCAGAGAAGGGAGGGGCAGAGTGGGGCAAACCTGGGGGGCTCTTCCTCTTGGGGTGTTGTTCCCCCATACACAGACTCCCTAACTTTGGCAGTGTCTACAGAATCCCAGAGAAAGGAGGGCAGGAGGCTCCAAGTCTGGGGGACATGGACATGGATTTGGGGGACTCTCAATATGGGGAGTCTTGGTCCGACCCTCCAGGTCTCCTCCTGTCCTCCTCATCTCTGTGCCCCCTCCAGACCAATTCCTGCCACCTCTTCTTTCCTGCACCCCCAGCAAGCAGACACAGCCATTACCTGCTCCTGCACATTAGTTTCCAAAACACTGAGCCGCAGGCTCAAAGGGATTGGGGGCGGGGGGGGCCCAGCCCAGCCCAGGCCCCCCCATGTCCAGCTGTCCCGGCCCTGCACCCCCCTCCCCAGCACACACCTGCAGCTCCTGGAAGAGCAGGTCAGCCAGGACGCGGTGGCAGAGGCGGGTGACACGGTCCAGAGCGCTGGCGGCGGCTTCCCGGGCTGGCTCACTTTCAGGGGGCCCCACCCGAGCCAGGCGCTCCGCCAGAGCTCTGCGGGAGATTCGTGGGAACAGCGTCAAGGAACTGCAACATCTCAGCCCGTTGCCCCTCCGAGGGTTCATGGGGGTAGCTTGGTACATGATCCCCCAAGCCAGGCACCCCTCAGGGTGTCTGTCCCTCCGGACCCCCCCAGCTCACGGACAAGGAAAGTGGGGCAGGGTTTGCTCCACAGAGTTGGTGCCCCCCCCCATGCATGAGGCCAGACGGAAGTAAGAGCACCTCTGAGGGTGCAGCAGGGTCAGAGGAGAAAACAGAATGTGGGATGTCCATGACCAGCAGGGTTTGCCCCAAGATGACAAGGGAGAGACTGTTGTGTAACCTTCTACCTCTTTTGCTGTTGTTGTTTTGTTTTTCAGCCATACCCGGCAATGCTCAAGGGTTAGTCCTGGCTCTGCACTCAGGAATCATTCCTAGCAGGGCTCAGGGGACCACATGGTATGTCAGGGATCAAATCCAGGTTGGCAAAGACACAACCTGCTGTACTACCGCTCCAGCCCCTCACCTTCTAACTCATGCACTAAAAAACAGGGACCATGGGGAGGGAAACTGGGGACATTGGTGGTGGGAAATGTACACTGGTGGAGTGATGGGTGTTGAAACATTGTATGACTGAAACCCAATCATGAAAAACTTTGTAACTGTGTAGTTCACTGTGATTCAATTAAATTTTGGGGGGGGAGTTACACTCAGCGATGTTAGGGGTTACTTCTGGCTCTGCACTCAGGAATTACTCCTGATGCTACTTGGAGGAGCATATGGGATGACGGGAATTGAACCCAGGTCGGCCGCATGCAAAGGCAAATACCCTACTTGCTATACTATCGCTCCAGCCCCCTAAAATTTTTTTAAATTAAAAAAATAAGCAGGGGCCACATTATTGGGGATATTGTATAGCATGTAGGTACCACAGCTGACCAGGTCTGATGCCCAGCACTCTATAGGGTCACCCAAGTCCCACCAGGAGTGATCCCTGGGTTCAGACCCAGAAGTAAACCCTGATCAGGGTGTGGCTCCCACCAAAAACTGGGGGTCCAGGTGCCTAGAGATAATAAAGAAATTAAGGCCTGTGTTCGTCTTGAACACAGACCAGTTTGTATCCCAGCCACCACACACAGTCCGCTGAGTACCACCAGGGGTCGCTCCTGAGCACAGAGCCAGGAGTAAGCCTTGAACACTGCTGGGTGTGGGTGCAGCCCCCAAATCAAAACTAAAACAAAAATAAATCAAGATGCTGGGAAGGGCTCGACACCCTGGAGGGCCTGCTGCTCTTGCAGGAGGCCTAGTCTGGGCCCCGGCATTGCACGCCCCAAAGCCCAGAGCTGGATTGGCCCCAGAGCACTGCCAGGCGTCGCCCCTGAGCTGACCGAGCTGGTTATCAGTTCTTCAGGTTGGGGCTGGGACTCAAGTAGTCAATTTGGTTTTAGGTCAGACCAGACCCGGTGATGCTCAGGGGTTACTGAGCACTCAGAAATCACTCCTGGCTCAGAAATCACTCCTGGCTGTGCCCAGGGGACCCTATGGGACACCGGGGATTGAACTGGGGTTGGCAGCATGCAAGGCAAATGCCCTTCCCACTGTACTGTCGCTCCAGCCCTGGGACTCAAGTGAGCGCATACTTGCCCATGTGAGGGTCCGAGCCCTGCCATTTCCTAGGCCCTCTGCCCACTTTATAGGCTAATGAAATAGGGAAGTCAGATTTTTTAAAAGACCCCTTACAAGGGGCTGGAGCGATAGCACAGCAGGTAGGGCCTATGCCTCGCATGCGGCTGATCAGGTTCAATTCCCAGCATCCCATATGGTTCTCCTAGCACCACCAGAAAGTATTCCTGAGTGCAGGGGTAACCCCTGTGCATTGCTGGATGTGACCCAAAAAGAAAAAAAAAAATAAAAAGACCCTTACGAAGTCAAAGCTGAGTCCCTGGGGCTGCTGTCCCAGGTGTTCTTTCTGGAACTCATGGGTCCCCGCCCCAGGATCTAAGCATCCTGATCCAACTGGTCACTCAAGCCTGATCCTCCCGGCACGAGGTGGGGCATGCTCACCTCAGGGGGGGCCCACAGTTGACCAGGGCGATGGTCCGGCTGACATAGACATCGGGGGGCAGCTCTCGCACTACTGGGTTCTCATGGAACCTCTCCACGCGCTGCTGGAAGCTGGGGGCAAGAAAGGAGGGTCACCCTCTGGTGGAGGGGTCCTTGCAGGGACCCCCTTCAAGGAGGGCCCTCCCCTTTGTGATCTCGCTTCTCTGTTGGCTCCTTTCGCACCTCTGCAGGAACTCGGCCAGGCCCCCCAAGCAGCAGTGAGCCATTCGCTCCCCGAACTCCTTGCTGATGCGGGGTGCTCGCTCTGTGTGCTCCTCCAGCAGCTGCAGGGGGCAGGTGGGGGGGGACAAGAGAAGAAGTGAGAGGTGGGGTCCTCGCCCTGGCCCTTCCCCTTCCTCCCCGGGATGGAGGGGCATACCTACCTCACACACATCCTGTGCCAGGCTGCTGGGCCTCTCCTCCAGGGCACCCCAATGTTCCTCATCCTCCTGTAGCTCCCGAAGCAGTGCTGCCCGTGTCTGAGCCTGCAGGGGCGGGGTTGAGGGGGGGGTGTCGGGGAGCACCTCACTTCCTCCCTCCAGGCCCTCTGCACCCATAGCTTGGCTAGATCAGAAACTTCCCACCAATCCCTTCTGGCCACAGGCTCTGAGGGGGAGCTTTAGATTGGCGTGGTTTGGGGGTAACACCCAGGGGTGTTCAGAGCTGACTCCTGGCTCTGTGCTCAGGGATCACTCCTGGTGGTGCTCCAGAGACCATCTGGAATGTTGGGGATCGAACCCAGGTCAGTTGCATGCCTCACCCACTATACCCTCAGCCTGGACTCTATTTTTGCTTTCTGACACTTGTGAGGATGGAGCCCAGAGCCTGGCATGGGTAAGGCTGGCACCCCAAGTCATGTCCCTCATCCTCTAAGTCTGTAGGTTGAAGCTACCTCCTTTTGGGGGGGCTGGAGGGACCATGCCTGGTGGTACTCAGTGGGGGGGGGACTATTCCAGGCTCTGAGCTCAGGAGTGACTCCAGGCAGTGCTCCAGGGACCATGTGAGACACGGGGGGCTGAGGTGGGAGTGCGGGGTGCAGGGCAGGTACCTTGACCTCTGTGCTATCTCTCTGGCCTGGTGCTGACTTTTGTTGTTGTTGTTGTTTGTGCCACTCTCAGTGGTCACTCCCAGCAGTGCTCAGGAGACCAGGTGTGCTGGAGATCAAACATGGTGCTCCTGAATGCACACACGCATCCCAGCCTGGTAACCATTCCGACCTAGGAGGCCGGGGCAGGCTGGCACGCAGTCCTGCTGAGAACCTGTGCTCCATCAGTCATTCGCTTCCTGCTGGCCCTGGCACCTTTTGGTGTGATATTTGAGCTGGAGCTAAATTGCTGGCTTGTTATGATCTCTAATTTGATTTGTTTGTTTGCTTATTGTTATTGTGGTTGGGAGGGGGAGGCCTGTGCTCAGGGCTTACTCCTGGCTCTGTGCTCGCGATCACTGCTGGAGGGGCTTGGGAGACCATACAGGGTGGCAGGGACTGAACCCCGCTCAGCTGTACTCAAGGCAACTGTCTGACCTTATCTCTCTGACCTGGCTCTGATCTGAGATGGCTGAACGCACTGCACTTGTACCTAGTGTCTCTCCACATCTTTGGTTGGTTTTTGCTTTGGGGCCACACCAGGGGATCATGAGATGCTGGTGATTGAATGCGGGGTGTCCACAGGCAGAGCAAGGGCTCCAGCCCATTGAGCTATGTCTCCCTCATTTCAGTGTCTTTTGGACAGAACTCAGAAATAAGGGCCAGAGAATTGGAGCAATAGCACAGCGAGGAGAGCTTTTGCCGTGCACATGGCCGACCCAGGTTTGATTCCCAGCATCCCATTTGGTCCCCCAAGCACCGCCAGGAGTAACTCCTGAGTGCATGAGCCAGGAGTAACCCCTGGGCATCGCCGGATGTGACCCAAAAAGCATAAATAAATAAATAAATAAATAAATAAATGGAGGGGCTAGAGACTTGACTTGTCCTAGATGCAGGCAACCCAGGTTCAAACCCTGAGCATTTCCAGGGGTGACTCCTAAGCACAGATTCAGGAATGACGCTTGGGCGCTACCAAGTGTGGTTCAAATCCACACCCACACCCCCAAATTAAAAAAAAAAACTCAGAAAAAATACAAAGGGGAATTGAAAAGAGTGAAAGGGGAAAGGGAAGGACCCTAAGCCCAGCAAGACCCCCGGGCCCCCCCCCCCCCACTCCTGGGTGAGCCCCACCCCCCACCCCACCCCCGTGCCAAGTTCAGGTACCTTAACATCTGTAACACATTCATCTTCTAAGCTGTGCAAGGTTCCAGGGGACAGAAGGGGCCCCAGCTCGCCATTTTCCAAGGCCACTAAGTCCACCAGCCCTAGGACCTCCCTGTGAGATAGGGATGGGGTGGGGGTAAGAGACGGGGAGGTCAGTGGGAGTCGGGGCTAGCTGGTTTGCCCCGCCCACCGCCTGTGTTGCAACCGGAGCCCCGCCCATCTGGGCCAGGCTCCAGTTTTGCTCATCCCTCAGAGGAAGTCTCTGGAAGAGGCAGCAGCTCTCCTGGCTCCAGCTCTCTGAGTCAGCCTCTGATGGATGGTGTCCGGGCAAGATGGCCCGGGGTCAGGTCCAGGCTTGATGGTCTGGCACGCAATGTCTGTCCCCACCCCCCCGCAGCTGCTCTAGGCAGAAGCGCCTGCTCCCAGTCTCCATATCTGCTGCGTGAAAGCGCTGCCCTCACTCTGCAAGCTTGGGAGCCCAGGTCACCACGGCTTCCTCCACCCCTCCCTGCAACCCCCCCCAAATGGGAGCTGGGGAGGAGGGGAACGTTGCTGTCCCCGTCATGCCCGGGACAGCATCCTGATCTCATCTGAGGAACGCGCTGGCCCTCTCCAGCGGGCGGGTTGGGTGCGGCTGGCTTCCTGACCCCCTCGAGAGGGTCATCCATCACTCTCTTTCTGTTCTGGCCCTAAGCATGAGGCTCTCTCCAGACTCACAGCTTCCAGAGTTAGCAGATTCTTGGACTGGGCGATTCAGTGTTGCCCAGGCTCTCACCGCTACGAATAAAGCCAGTGCCTAACCCCCACCCCCACCCCCGCCCCATACACCCCAAAGTGCTACAATTCTCAACCAGGAAGAGCTGATGGTGTGAATTTTATCTCGGATCCAAAGGGGCAAGGGGGTTTTCTGGCTGGGAAGGTTCTAGGACTGTCAAAGCTGTCTATTCTGTGCTGGAGTGATAGCACAGTGGGTAGGGTATTCGCCTTGCATGCAGCCTACCTAGGTTGAATCCCCGACTGACCTAGGTTCGATCCCCGGCATTCCATGCGGTCCCCCAAGCACCACCAAGAGCAATTCCTGAGTGCAGAGCCAGGAGTAACCCCTGAGCATCTCCGGGTGTGGCCCAAAAAGAAAAAAAAGTGCAACGGGAGGCATGGGCAGTGGAGGTGCCCTTGGATGCAGGGCATCCAAGAAGAGGTCTGGAGAGGTGAGAAGAGCATTCCCCTTGGCTGGATGCGGAGACAGCGCTGCTCAGGTGCTTTGATTGCAAGACACTGGGATGGTGGTCCCAGGAGTAAAGGACCATGGAGGGAAGGGGCTGACATGAGGTCAGTGACGGTTCCCTCCAGGAGGATGCTGGGGGCTGACATCTAGCCGCATGACCCCAAGGCTGAGATTCCAGCACTAGGAAATCCACAAAGTCGAGGAGGGACTTTGCCAGTGGGGAACTAAGATTTTAGTTTTCTGTTTGTTTGGTTGTTTTGGGGGGCATCCCCAGCTCTGCTTGGGGTTTACTCCTGGCTCTGAGATCAGAGGTCATTCCTGGCAGGTCTTGGGATGGTTTCGGGGATGAACCATTTTTAGTTTTGTTTTGCTCATTTGGTGTTGGGATCACATCTTGTGCTGCTTAAAAGGGATATTCCCAGTTCAGTACGCGAGGGTCACTCGTGCCAGTGTTTAAGAGACTCTAAACAAAGCTGGGCATTGCCAGGCAGAGCACTGTTCTGCACCTCATTGAGCCATGGCCAGGGGCTGAAGTTTTCTTTTCCTTTTTTTAAAAAAAATTTTGCATCATACCCAGCAATGCTCAGCACTTACTCCTGGCTCTGCACTCAGGAAATACTCCTGGTTATTTGGGGTTACTATGACGCTTGGGGGACCATATGGGATGCCAGGGATCAAACCCCAGTTGGCCGCATTCAAGGCATACACCCTACCCACTGTATTATTGTCCTTGCCCTGCTGAGATTTTTTTAATACCAGAAAGATAACAATGCTAAGATTCTGGAATCTTATGGGTTAATGGCCATGATACATGATCCTCCACCCAGATCCTCCAAATTCCAGTAGGGGGGGGGTCACACCCACCAATTGGCCCCCTGGCGCCGTGTAATCCCATCAACGGCCAAGATTCAGAGACTATAAAACCCAGCTCCTGGAAGCGCGTGGCGCGACATCTTATCATCTCATTCCTACTTTAGACAAACTGGCAGGCTACCGAATGTAACCTGCCCACATGGCAGAGTCTGGCAAACTCCCCGTGGCGTACCCAATATGCCAAATACCAGTAACAATGAAGGGTCTCATTCTCCTAACTCTGAAAGAGCCTTGAATATGGCACTTTAAAAAAAAAAATCTCAGGGCTAGGACGAAGAGACGTTACTGGGGCCTGCTCTAGGCAATCCACGAATAACAGGATGGTTGTGATTGTGATTGTGAATGGCCATGATGCTCTGAATCAAACTGGAAAAACAGAACTCAGATTCTTTCTTGGAAGAGGGATGCTGGGCCATACTCAGCAGTGCTCAAGGGGTATTTCTGGCTCTGTGCTCTAGGCCAGGACTCAAGTTCTAAATGAGCCATTGTGGATGATGCTAAAATTATATTTTTGGGGGTCACACCTGGAGATGCTCAGGGGTTACTCCTGACTCTGCACTCAGGAATTACGCCTGGTGGTGCTTGGAGAGCCATTTGTGATGCCGGGGATTGAACCTGGGTTGGCCTCATGCAAGGCTAAAATTCTGGAGCGGGAATGGAAGTGGGTCCCAGGGGTAGCAAGGCTCGTTCACTGAGCTGGGAAACTGGACAGCTCTCTGATTGCAAGGCACGGATTGATTGAGATCGGTATGACCAAGATTCCAGCACCGATGAATGGACAGCGCTGTGATTTACCATTGTCTGTGTGGGGTCTGGGTTTGTCAATATCAGCCTGGGCTGGGCAACGTCAGCCCGGGCCTGCGGGTGTCCGTCTCCGTGGGGCTCAGCTCACCTGGGGTACACCTGGTTGTGCCAGTGCAGCAGCGCGTAGCGGTCGGTCAGCGGCAGCCTCCGGCGGGCAGCGGCCGCGAGCCAGTCGGCCAGCGCTCCGTGGTAGCCTCGCAGGTAGACCCCGAAGGCGCCCAGGCCGGCGGGGTAGGCGGGCGCCAGGCGGCCCCGCACCACACCCATGTCCTCCAGCAGCCGCGCGCGCAGCGCCTCCAGCTGCGCCGCCAGCCCGCCGGGCGCCCCCGGGGCCGCCGCCTCCAGGCGCTCGCGTGCGGCGCGGGCCACCGCCTCGGCCCAGCGGGCGCGCAGCCTGCGGGCCGCCCCGGGGCCCCGACGCCCGTCGGCCGCCTCCTCCTGCACCAGCACCTGGCCCAGCTGCGCCACCGCGCCCGCCCCGGCGCCCGCGCCCGGCCCGGGCCCCGCCAGCGTCTCGCGCACCAGCGCCCACAGCTCGCGCTGCAGCGCCTCGTAGAGCAGCGCCACGTCCCGCGCCCGGCGGCCCGCGCCCGCGCCCTCGGCCGCAGCCGGCGGCCCCGGCGCGCCGCCCCCCGACGCCGCCAGCTCCTCGGCCTCCAGCTCCAGGATGTGCTCGTCGGCCCGCGCCAGCTCGCGCTGCTGGATCAAGCTCAGGATCTCCAGCACTGCGGGGGGCGAAAGAGGGTCGTCACAGGGGGCGGAGGTGGAAGGGAACGCGGGGCGGTGATTGATGCCACTGGGTGCCCAGGAAGAGTGCGCCTCACTGGAGATGGGCAGGCAGAACGGGGTCAGAGAAGGGGTGCCAGAGGAAGAGAGGAAGTATGGAAAGGGGGAGCAGTGGGGGGCAGTGAACGACAGGACATGGGGGGGACAGGATGTGGTAGGATCGGGTGAAAGGGGAGGGGTGAGGAGAGAGGGGGTGAGGAAGAAGGGAGCCCTGAGGGTCAGGGCCGGGGTCAGGGAGTTGGGGGCTGCCCCTAGGCCCGAGGGAGGGTCAGAGAGGGAGAGAAGGTCTGGAACCAGGTAAGGAGGGGCGGAGGGGCCGGGTGGGGGCAGGGAGAGAGCATGCCAACAGTGAGGATGGGGTCTTCGGGCTGTGAGGGTACTCGAGGGTGGGGAATCTGTCCCGCCTGAATTCAGATTGGGGGGAGGGATCGCGGTGAAGGCAGAAGGAGGGTCTCAGCGGCCCAGGGTTACCCCTGACACCTCCACCCCCCCTCCACTTCCTCCCTGGCAGAGAAACGGTTTCCTGGCCAGCGCTATTTCTGCCCATCCGTTTCCAGAAGGCGGGGGCCTGTCACCCCCTCCTCACCTCCCTGCCCTCCCAGTCCCCAGGGAGCAGGAGCTGAAATAGCCTCTCTGGGCAGGAAGTGGAGGGCATCGGAGGACGGCTGGGGGTGGGGGCGTCCAGTGCTGCCGGTGCGGGGTTCAGGCAAGGAGGGGCAGGATGGAGATGGAGATGAGGGTGGGGCTCAGGGTGGAGAGGAGTGGAGGTCAGTGAGGTGGGAATCGAGGAAGAGATTGAGCGGTTCTGGGGTTCGGGGTGGCGCCCGGCCTGATGAAGGCCAATGGAAAAGAGAACTGGGTCTGGATCTGAGGTTCGCATGGACAGGACTGGGCTGAAGGTGGAGGGTGTGGGGGTGTGGGAGAGATAAGACCTGGGGGACATGTGACAAGGAGATGGGCTGGGAGGTGAGTGAGGGGTGGTGGATGCCCAGATGAGGGATGGGGCCGAGATGGGCCAGTTGGCAGATGTCATTGTGTGGGGTGGAGCTGTGAAGCCAGTATTGGCTTTGGGGGGAGCTTGGGGACACACTCATGGAAGTTTCTCGAAGTGGAAATAAGGGGGCTGAAGTGATAGTACAGAGGGTAGAGCGTTTGCCCTGCATGCTGCCAACCCGGGTTCAATTCCCAGCATCCCATACAGTCCCATGAGCACCACCAGGAGTAACCCCTGAGCATCGCTGGGTTTGACCTGGAATCAATCCCCGCATCCCTTAGGGTTCCCCAAACCCCACCAGGAGTGACTCCTGAGTGCAGAGCCAGGAGTAAGCTCACAACATCACTGGACGTGGCCCAACCCCCCCCCCCAAAAAAAAACCCCTATATTAAAGAAAGGAGGGTCAGAGAATTAGTACAGCAGGGAGGGCTTTGGCCTTATACATGGCTAAACCAGGTTCAATTCTGGCATCCAGTGTGGTTCTTGAGCACATCAGGAGTAGCCCCTGGACATCGCTGGGGTGGTCAAAAACCAGAGTGGGGAGAAGAGGGAGAAAGAAAAAAAAGGAAGGAGGGAAGGAAGAGAAAAAGAAAGAAAGCAGAAGTGAAGAGGGGGTGGCAGCTGATGCCCCCAGTGCGTGATTAGCTTGACACTGGAGCTGAGGGGGTGTGGCTGGGGCTGAGGGTTGGGGGGGTGAGCTGCTGGCACTGATCCCTAAAACAGGGAAACTGAGGCTGGAGCTGGGCTGAGGTCAGGGGTGCATTCTGGGGCCCCCGCATGTCCCCCCAGGTCTGGGTCCGGGCTCCCACTCACCTGACAATGGTTCCTTCATCTTGGGGGGCTCTGGGACTTTGGATGGGGGCTCAGGGGCCGCCTCCCCGGCAGGCACCACCCTCTCAGCCAGGGAGGCACGTCGGGGCTTGGAGCCGCGGCCCAGGCGGAGAAAGGACAATCTCCGGGCGGCGTCCCCCGCCGCGTCCTCGTCGCTCTGGCCGCGGGCTCCCTGGAGCCTGGCCAGGAGGCCAAAGTCGGCCGAGCTCCTCCGGATCCCCGGGGCCAGCACTCGACCCAGGAACGAACGGGACTGCCCGTCCCCGGGGCTGCCCGCCCAGCGGCTAGAGCCCCAGCCCAGCCGGAACGGCGCCAGCCCTGCCAGCTTCTCCAGGGTGGCGCGGCGGCGACACGGGGTCCCATTGGGGAGGGTCCCCAGCGGCCCCGGCTCCTCTTCGTCCAGCCCTGGGCCTTCTTCAAAAGGGTTCCGAGAAGACCTCAGGGGCAGGGTGCCGCCCCGGGACACTTTCGAGTCGGTCACCCCGAGACTCTTCAGGATGGGCATGTCGGCAGCTGGGGACCTGGGGGGACAGAGGAGGGCGGGGCTCAGGGTCTGCACCTGGTTCTGTGCTCAGGAGGGACCCCTAGTGGGGAACTCTGTGCGGTGCCGGGAACGAACCCAAATCGGCCACATGCAAGGGTAGCCCCTTTCCCCACCCTGTTATGACACCCAGTTTGCAACCTGAGAAATGAAGAGTCCGAAGGGCCGTGGGGGCTCAACTGAATTGCGCATCGATTCAAGGACAGTGGTAGAGTTCACATCCAAACCCAGATAACCCAGCGGGGAGGGCGCTTGCTTTGGATGCAGCTGACCGGGGTTGGATCCCCAGCATCCCATGAACACTGCCAGCAGTAATTCCTGAGTGCAGAGCCAGGAGTAACCCCTGAGCACCCCAGATGTGACCTAAAACTCAAACTCAAATCTAAACTCACTGCTTCTTTCCTTGCTGACCTGGAATATTCCTACTCGCAGATTCCTATGTCCCATGAGGAATTCAGCATAGAGAGGTTAGGCCTCCCACAAAAGGGCACTGCCTGGGGGCTGGAGCGATAGTACAGCAGTGAGGACATTTGCCTTGCACAAGGCCAAGCCTGGTTCGATCCCTAGCATCCCATATGGTCCTCTGAGCACTGCCAGGTGTGGTTTCTGAGTACAGAGCCAGGAGGAACCCTCAAGCATCACCAGGTGTGGCCCAAAAGCCAAAGAAACAAAAAGGGGGCACAGCCTGTGAGGGGCAGAGACTGCATGGACCCAGGCGCACACAGTCACCTGGCCACCCCTGCCCTCACGCCCCCTAACCCTGCTCCTTTCTCTGCAGAATCCTTCCTATGCATAGCAGAGGATGGAAGTCCACAATCAGGAAGGGCAGAAGGGGACCATTAAGGCAAGACCCCTTCCTTTGAGAGGGCAGAACATTCTGGTTTTTTTTTCTTTTTGGGTCACACTCGGCGATGTACAGGGGTTACTCCTGGCTTTACACTCAGGAATTACTCCTGGCAGTGCTCAGGGGATCATATGGGATGGGAATCAAAACCAGGTTGGCTGCATGCAAGGCAAACGCCCTACCTGCTGTGTTATTGCTCCAGCCCGGGCAGAACATTCTGGAACTGGAGAGTGACAATGGTGGAGTCAGTGTGGATGCCTCTGAACTGAACATTATTTTGGGGGGTGGGGTAGGAGGTAGGCTAAACCCTGTGGTGCTCAGGGGTTCTTCCTGGCTCTGAGTGCTCAGAGGAACCCTATGAGGTACCAAGATTCAAATCAAGGTTAGTGGGATGTAAGGCAAGTGACTGACCCTCGATACTATTTCTCTGGGCCCTGGACTGAACGCTTTTAAATTTGTTTTTGCTTTAGAGCCACAACGATGAAGGTGCTCAGGGTTTGATCCTGGCTCTGGGCTCTGGGCTCTGATTCCCTGGTGGGTTTAGGGCACCGTATGGGACGCTGGGGATCCAATTCAGGTTGACTGCATGCAAAGCAAGTGCCATACTAGCTGTACTATTGTTCAAACCCACTGAGCTGAACACTGACTTTTTGTTGTTTTGGGGTCACACCTGGGAATTCACAGGGGTTACTTCTGCTCTACACTAACGAATTTCTCCTGGTGGTACTTGGGATACCCTATGGGATACTGGGGATGGGATCTGGGTTAGCTATGTATAAGGCAAGTGCCCTACCCACTGTACTATCTCTCCGGCCCCCTGAACTGAGCATTTTAAAGTGTTAAAGAATGAGGCAGTAGTACAGCGGGAAGGGCATTTGCCTTGCACGCAGCTGATCCAACTCAATCCCTGGCACCCTATATGATCCCCTGAACCCTTCCAGGAGTGACTCCTGAGGGCAGAATCAGGAGTACACCCTGAGCACCACTGGGTATAGCCCAAAAGTGCAAAAATAAATAAATAGATTAAATAAAGGGTTGAGGGGCCTGGGAAGTAGCAGCACAGGCTGGAAGACAGGTTTTGCATGTAGGAGCCCAGGTTTCCGTCCCTGGCACTGCACAGTACTCCCGCCCTGGGCCAGCACTCTGGGTGGGTTCCAGTAAACAAAAAGAAAAAGAGAAAGGGGGCTGGAGCAATAGTTCAGCAGGGAGGGCATTTGCCTTGTACATAGCCAGCCTGGGTTTGATCCCCGGCATCCCATAGGGTACCCCAAGCACCCCACCGGGAATAATTTCTGAATGCAGAGCCAGTAACCCCAGAGCATCACCCGGTGTGGCCCCCTGGGGGGAAAAATGAAGGCAAGTGTTTAAGGCACTAGAGCACGTACATGGTACTTGCTAGTCCCTGAGTTCGATTCCCGGCATCACAGGGTCCCCCGAGCACTGCTGGGAAGGCTTGGAAAACAAGCCTGAGTCACTCCAGGAGTGACCCCGGGGGCCCTGAGCAGGGCTTGGGAGGTCCCTCCCAAAAATCCAAAACAATATAGTAAGGTGGGGGCTGGAGCGATAGCACAGTGTGTAAGATGCTTGCCTGCATGCAGCTGACCCGGGTTTGATCCAGAGCATCCCATATTATCCCCAGGAATGATCCCTGAGGACAGAGCAAGGATTCAGCCCCAAACAAACAAAATCAACAACAACAAAACACAAAATAGTAGGGCAGTCAGTGTTTTTGCTTTCCTTTTCTTTTTTTTGGGGGGGGGGAGTTGGGGAGTTGTTCCCAAGGGGTGCTCAGGAGGTTTGAGGGGTTCCCTACAAGCAATTCTCAGCCAGCCATCAGTGCCGGAGGGACCATGAGGTGCTGCCCCTCAAATCTGGGCAACACCAGCCAGACCCTCTCACCTCTGTGCTAACCCCTGGCCCGGAGGCTCTTGGGGTTCAGGCTATGTCTGTTGTATCACACACTCAGTGCCGTGGTGTTTGCCGTGGGCCAGGCTCTGCAGGCACCAAGGACATAGTTCTTATTTTCGAGGGGGCCGGAAGGACCGAGTAATAGCACCGCGGGGAGGGCGCTTGCCCTGCACACCCCAGCCCAGGTTTGATCCTTGACATCCCATAGGGTTCCCTGAGCACCGCCAGGAGTGACCCCCCGAGTGCAGAGCTAGGAGTAACCCCTGAGCATCGCTGGATGTGCCCCCCCAAAATAAAAAAGCACCAAGACACGGGGCACAGAGAGACCCAGTCCGCGCCACCACCCTGCTGCGTGCCACAGCCCTGGCCTCCTTTCTTCACAGCCTCCTCCCCGCTCTCCTCTTTAAAGCCCCGCCAGCCTCCCTCTCAGGACCTTGCTAAAGCTCAGCCTTACCCCACCCCTTCTCCTAACCCTCCTGGGCTCCCTAGAGCCCTTGGGACAAAGTCCAGTGCCCTCCTCTCCGCAGCCTGATCTCCTTATTCCAGGTTCCTCTGCAGTTTCAGCACCTGCTGGCTGGTGCTCCCGGCTCCCTCTATAGTTTATGCTATAGGACCCAGTTCCAATGCTGCCGCCTCCAGGAAGCTGTCCATGATGTCCAGACTGCCTCCAGAGTCAGAATTGGGGATTCCCCTACCTCAGGTTTCATCCACTGTGGGTGATCTCTGAGAGGGAATGGATCTGTGGTCACTGTTCTGTTGTCCTCAACCGGGCACAGGGGAGGAGGGGTGTGCTAGGCAGGAAACAAAGGAAAGAGGCCCGGACTTCATTCCTGGGGGTGGAGGAGAAGTGAGCACCAGTGAGCCGGCCCCAGCAGCCTGGAACCAGGTGAGGAAGATGCTGGTGCGAGTGTGATGTCATTGTTGTTGTGGTGGTGGTGGGTGCTCTGGGGTAACACCCACTGGCGCTCTGGGGCAACTCCTGGGTCAGTGCTCAGGAGAGGCTGGGCGGTAGACAACAGGCAGAGCTGAGAAACAAACCCGGGTCAGTGCTTTAACTGCTTTGCTATCTCCCTGTCCAGCCCAGAAGTGCGATTAGTGAAAGGAGGGGAGAGTTCAAACATTCCAAAGCCCAGACTAACGCGGCAGGGCCCTGCCGGCAGCAGCTCAGGCTCCGGGGGGCTCCTGTCAGCTTCGGGCATCGGGCCAGAGCAATAGAACAGAGGGTAGGGCATTTGCCTTGCATGCGACTGACCCGGGTTCGATTCCCGGCATCCCATATGGTCCCCCGCGCACCTGAGTGCAGAGACCCCTGAGCATCACTGAGTGTGACCCCTCCCCCCAAGAAAGACTCAAACATTGCCCACACCCCGAGGCCACCAGGTTAGCTCCACAGTCCCCAAGGAAGCAGCATCAGGTTTCTGGGTCCCCCACCTGGTTGCACCCCAGAAAGGGGAGTTTCTCAGCTTCTCCAGCTCCCTTGGCGGCATCCTATCTCCTGGTTCTGCAACTTGCTTTTTCCTTATCTTTATCTTGTTTAGGGGCCACACCTGGCAGTGCTCAGGCCTTACACTTGACTCTGGATCTGGGGTCACTCCTGGGTGGTGCTAAAGGGACCCTATAGGGTCCCGGGGATTGAACCCGGGGTAGCTGTGTGCAAGGCAAACGTCCTCCCTGCTGTCCTATTGCTCTGGCCCCTGTTTTGCTCACAGCTCACACAGCCCATAGGATGCTCATCACTCATCCATCACCCGCCTGAGGTGAGGCCCAGGGTGGCTGTCCCAGCTGAGGGTTGGGCGGAACCCCCAAGTGTGATCAGCCCCAGAGGTCACATCCCTCATCCGAGATCCGACGCCACCCACAGCTCAGACACCCGGACGCCTCTCTTGGGCTTCGCATGCTTGCACGGTCTACGCTGGACGTGTCACGTCACTTGTTTTGATACCGGACGGGCAGTGTGTGTGTGCGGGGGGTGGGGGTGGGGGCTGATGCTGAAGGAACCCTCCTAAGCGAGACCCTCTTCCTTTAGGGGGAGCAGCCCACTTTCCTTGTCCCAGCCTCAGCCCTGGTGCCTTTGCTATGGTTTCACACACTCCCCACCCCTGCCCAGGCTCCGTGGAACCCCACTTCCCAGGGCCCCCTGGAGGCAGACACTTGCTGTTCTAGATCTTCCATCTCCCAAGCTGACTTCCACGTACCTCAACCGCCCCCCCCACACAGCTCCCCTGTCCCCCAGAAGGGGCCCGGACACTTCCCTCCAGTAACTGCCTTTACCCCACCCCAAAAGGAGGCCCAGTGTCCCTTCAGCTGAAGCCGACATAGCCCCATCCCAGCTGCTGTCCCTTACTTGGCCCCCAGACCCTCCCGGCATCTGACACCCCTAAACCTGCTCCCACACCCTCAGGCTTGGTGGCCACCTTTCCCCCAAATTGCTTCCAACATCCCCGCCAGCTGCAGAGCACCCCGACATCCTCCCCTGACATTTCCCAAGCCTCTGTCCAGCCCCCAGCCCCACACTTCTGCAGGATGTCTTGGCCTCCGAAGCCCCCCTCCTTGGGCCCCCCACTTCCTCGATGCTACCAGTTTTGTCCCCAAACCCCCAAAGCCCCACCTGGGCAGGAGGTCAGCAGAGACGCAACCCGTGTGAATTGCACAGCCCAGCTCCGTGCACCCCAATCCGGACCCACCCCCCAACACTAGCCATCACCTTCACTCATCACCATCCCCAGCATCTCCATAACGCTCCCCTCTACCCCCTGCAGGACCCCAGGTCTTGGGGCTCCCTGGGGAGACACACTCAGTGCTCCTGCTGCATGTCCCCCTTTTCTCTCTCTCTCCCTGAGGAAGGGGGCGATTCCAGCCATTTGGTGACCGCCAAAGTCTCCCCTGCACCCTCCTTCTGCTCCCACCTCCCTTCCACATCCTGATGGGGGACCCCTGATTCTTTCTGGGACGCCTCTCCTGACATCAAGTCCCAGGTTCTCCAGACATCCGGGGCTCACCGCATCGCCCCTTCTTCCTGGAGGGCTCCTGGCTGACCCCCTTTGCAAATACACTCACCCCTCTGGTCCGAGCCTCAGTGCCGTCCGCAGGTCCCCGCGACCGTCCTGCCCTGAGGATACTTGGCTCGGGACTGCGGCTGAGCCTGGATGAGGGGGGGTCAGTGTAGGACAGTTTCCTGCCAGGAAACCCCTCCCTCGTCGGCCAGAGCGGGAAGGAGTTCCTATCTGTCTGCCCTTCTCGCTGGGCTGTGGTTGGGCTGGGAGGAGGGGCCTCGACCCACTCCCGCTGGCCTCCGGAATTACCCCCTTCCCACCCACCCCCAGCCCTTCACGCCTCTGGAGGTGACAACAACCATCCTGGCACCCTGGGAGAGACACTTCTCACCCAAGGGGAGCCCAGAGTTCTGTGGGGTCTCTGAGAGGGAATAAAGTTATTGAGGAGGGTTCAGAGCCATAGGGCAGTGGGGCGGGCATTTGCCTGGCGCGGGGCAGAGCCAGGTTCAATCCCTGGCATGCCATAGCCCCCCCCCCCCCAGTCCCACCAGGAGTGATTCCTGAGTGAAGGGCCAGGAAAAACCCCTGAGAATCACCAGGTGGGGTCCCCAAACAAACACAAATGTTGAGGTGCTATGGATGGAGAGCTAGTACCGCAGGGAATGTGCTGGCCTGGCATATAGCTGACCCAGGCTTGATTCCTGGCATCCCAGAAGGTCCCCTGAGCACCAACAGGAGTGATCCCAGATCACAGAGCCAGGAGTCAGCCTGAGCACCCCAGGAGTGATCACTGAGCAGAGCCTGGAGTGATCCCTGAGCACAGAGCCAGGAGTGAGCCCTGAGCACCCCAGGAGTGAGCCCTGAGCACAGAGCCTGGAACTATCCCTGAACACCCCAGGAGTGAACCCTGAGCACAGAGCCAGGAGTGAGCCCTGACTATAGGTGTGGCCCTCCAGCTTCGGAGTTGGTGGTCCTGCTGTCGTCTCTGTGTCCCAGGCTCTTCCTGCTTTATCACTCTGCTCACACACCAGGTCCCTTCCTCAACGGAGACATTCCCGGCCAGCTAAGGCACTTCCGCTCCCCTGCCTCCGTCTCAGGGGATCTGACTCTGACGGTGCATTTCTTTTCTTTTTCTTTCATTTTCTTTTTTTTGGGGGGGGGGGAGGAGGGGTGATTGGAACCACACCTGGCTCTGTTCAGGACTTACTCCTGGATCTGTGCTCAGGATTCACTCCAGGTAGTGCTTGGGGGACTGTATGGGATGCTGGGATCGAACCTGGATTGGCCACGTGCAAGGCCAAGGCCTCCAGGTTATGCTATTGCTTCAGCCTGGTGACATCTGTGTTTCTTAAAGCCACAGTCAGACTCGTCTCCTTCGCAGTCTCTGTCCTCATGGGCTTCCCTGCATCTCCTGCTGGGCCGCCGGGCCTTCCACCCCTCCACGTGTGCTCAGATACATGAATCTGGGTATGGGGGAGCTCAGGATTTGCATGAGGAAGGCCGGGATTTCAACCCTGACCTGCTTGTCCTCCAAACACCAGGATGGCTAGGAGTGACCCCAGAGCACGAAGCAGGAGGTACCCTCTGGCACTGACAGCTGAATCCCCCCAACAATAACAACAACAACAACAACAATAACAGTCACATAAAGAGTTAAATGATGCCAAATGGGGAAAGAACTGAACTCTGGAGCAGCTGGGAATGGGCACGGGGCATTGGTGGGCTGGGAATGAATGGAATGGACAGTTGTCAAGAAATTAGGGTTGCTTTTGGTTTGGGGTGTCCCATAAAGGACTCCTGTTGAACCTTTCTGCAGGACCAAGGCCTGCTTTGAAGTCTTTTTTTTTTGTGTGTGGGGGTTGTTGTTTTAGTTTTTGGGCCACACACCACACACTGACTTCTGGCTTGGCACTCAAGGATCATTGCTGAGGGTGCTGGCGGATGCTATGGGATCAGAGAGATCAAACCCAGGTCGGCTGTGTGCCAGGCAAATGCCCTCCCCGCTGTACTGTTGCTTATCGCTCCGGTCCCTGCTTGGAAATCTGGATTGGAGGTTTCAGTGACTCTTGGGGGCTGTAGCATCCCTGCTGATGGCTGGTCTAGACAAAGTTGGGGTTTGGGGATGGGTTGCAGTGGCGATGGGCTGGTATACACCATCAGGAGCTGGGTTCAGGGATCTCACCGCCGCCCCCCCTTCGCCCCAACCCTGGAAGGGTGGCCGGACGGACGGAGCTTTGGGTGTGGGGTTAAGATTCAAAGGTCTGAGACTCAGCTCAAGGATTTTCTAGACAATGGGCCGTGGGGGAGGGGCTGGTGGGCAAGAGGGGCGTGGGGGCAGGGGAGGTTTGGCCTCCTCACACTGCCCGGTGCTGTAATCAGTGGCCACCAGTTGAAAAGTGTTTGTGATAGATTGACACTTTTTTGTTTGTTGTCTTGGGCGTGCTTGGGGCTTATTTCTGGCTCTGATCTCAGGGATCACTCCTGGGGAGGCTCAGGGGACTGCATGGGTACCAGAGATCAGTGTCAATTGCAGGGGTTGGAGCAATAGCACAATGGATAGGGTGTTTGCCTTGCACGCAGCTGACCTGGGTTCTATTCCCAGCATCCCATATGGTTCCCTGAGCACCACCAGGAGTAATTCCTAGGTACAGAGCCAGCAGTAACCCCTGAGCATCACTGGGTGTGACCCAAAAAGCAAAGCAAAACAAAACAAAACAATAAAAACAGTGTCAGTGGCATTTAAGGCAAGTGCCCTACCTCTTGTATGACCTCTTGGCTCTGTCTTTTTTTTTGAGGGGCCACACCCAGCAGTGCTTGGGGACCAGAGACACTTCTGGCAGTGTTTGTGGGGGGAGGTTTCCCCCAAAGCCCACCCTTCTGCCCCTTGGTGCCAGGGGTGGGTATCAGTACCAGGAAGCCAAGCCTAGACCCTGCTCTGCTTAGTATATATTTGACCACTTGTACCATCTCCACAATTCCTAATTCTGTGTTCGTTTTTCTTTCTGGGGCCACACCTCAGGGTCCTTGGAGACTTATTCCTGGCACTTTATTTTGGTTTTGAGGTCACACCTGGAGGGGCTCCCGCATGCGAAGCATGTTCTCCAGCCCATTGAACGGAGTTCATTTCTTCATTTTGGGGGCCACACCCATGATAATCAAGGGTCACTCCTGTCAAGGCTAGGGGACCTAAGTAGTTTGGGAGAATGAATCCGGACCAGCTGCGTGCAAGACAAGCACCTCACCCACTGTACTAGCTCTCTGATCCCCTACCTCCCCTTCCTAATTTTGGGGGCCACACCCACAGTGCTCAGGGCTTACTCCTGGTTCTATGCTCAGGGATCATTCCTGCTGGTGCTTACTGGACCATACGGGGTGCCATCGATAGAACCTGGGTTCGATGTGTGCAAGGCAAATGCTTACCCACTGTACTATCTCTCTAGCGGGCCCCGATTAATTTTTCCCCTCATTAATTGTAATGTGATATAATTCACATCCCCTATCTGTTGAGTATTTGAAAGTTTGTGTTTTCTACCAGGAGTAATTCCTGCATGCAGAGCCAGAAGGGTTACCCTGAGCATCACCAAGGGTAGCCCCCAAAACAAAACAAAACAAAAAAATAAATGAAAGTTTGTGGTTCAGTGGTTTTTTTTGTTTGTTTATTTTAATTGCGATCACGAGGTTTGGCAACCATCACCGATATCTGATTCTAAATTTTTTTCATCCACCCCTGAAAGAACCTCCTAGAACCACTTAACTGTCACCCCCCCCCCCTTCCCCTCCCCGCACAGCCCTGGCAGCCGGCAGTCCTTGGTATAATGGAATCAGACAATAAGAGCGCTTTGTGTCTGGTTTATGTCGTGAAGCATACTGTTTCCCAGGCTCATCCGTGTTGTAAGTCCCAGTCTCTAAACCTCAGTGACCCTCATCTGGGAGCAAGGTTGGTTTTGAGTAGTGAGTGGGGTAAGGGGCACCTCTGAAGCGAGGTGGGCAAGCCGGGAATAGGGAGGTGATCTGCTGCCCCCTTGTGGTGATAGCAGAACAGACGCTCTCAGCCGGCTCGAAAGGATTCGAGGTGACTCTGCCCCACCCCTCAATTTTCTCCGCAAGATCCCACCCCTCAGCCAGCACAACTCTGGGGAATGCCAAGCCCCTAGAACTCTCTCTGAACTTCTCCTCTGCCTTCCCTGAGACTCCCGCAGCCCCATTTGCTAAAGAGGTATCAGTCTGCTCCCAGTGAAATGCTTGAGTTTCATTCATTTGTTGTGACTAGGGGCTGGAACTATAGTACAGCTGGATAGGGAGTTTGCCTTGCAGGCTGCTGACCCGGGTTCGATCCCCAACATCCCATATGGTCCCTCGAGCATGGCCAGGATTAATTCCTGAGTGCAGAGCCAAGAGTAATCCCTGAGCACTGCCGGGTGTGACCCAAAAAGCATTCGTTGTGACTAAGATCGTCGCTCTTATTACCAGCCTGAAAACAAGGTGATTCGGAGGAGTCCGAGCTCTGAAGTTTGGAGCACTGGGCACAAACATTAGCCCTGCTACTTGCCAGCTGTGTGAGCATGGTATGTGATTATATATGGGGGGGGGGAGAGGGGAAGTTGGGCAACAGCAACAGCCAGCTGTGCTCAGGGCTTACTAGCTCTGCACTCAGGGTTCACTCCTCCTGCGGGTGCTTGGGGGATCATACAGGGTGCTGGGGACCGAACCTGATTCGGCCAAATGGTAGACAAATGCCTACCTTCTGTACTATTGCTGGCCTCAGTCTGTGATTTTTTTAGTTTGCTTTTTGGGTCACACCTGGCAGTTCTCAGGGCTCACTCTTGGATCTGCACTCAGGGATCCCTCCTGGCAGTGACTGGAGGACCCAATGGGATGCTTATGAAGGACTGAACCCAGGTTGGCTGTGTGCAAGGCAAGCACCCTTTTACTATCTCTCCAGCCCTGCTTTGCCTGCCTTCTTCTTCTTCTTCTTCTTCTTCTTCTTCTTCTTCTTCTTCTTCTTCTTCTCCTCCTCCTCCTCCTCCTCTTCTTCTTCTCCTCCTCCACCTCCTCCTCCTCCTCCTCTTCTTCTTCTCCTCCTCCTCCTCCTCCTCCTTTTTCTTCTTTTCCTC